TCTCCTCCTCCTTGTCTTCCTCCCACCTTCCCTCCCTCCCTCCTCCCTCTTCGCAAGTTCGACTCCGTCCTGTCGTCGCTCTTTGGCATGCGGTTAGCGTTGCGTATCTTGCGGCCGCACTCGCACTGTCTCACACTGTCTCACACTGTCTCACACTGTCTCACACTGTCTCACACTGTCTCACACTGTCTCTCAACTGTCTCTCAACTGTCTCTCATCTGTCTCTCCTCTGTCTCTCCTCTGTCTCTCCTCTGTCTCTCCTCTCTCTCTCCTCTCTCTCTCCTCTCTGTCGGAGCGCTAGCTTTCGCCCCCCCCCTTGGCCTCAAGCATCACGAAAACGATCTTCGAAGGAGGTCAATTGAAATTCTAGTTTATATATATATATAAATGGATTAAAATCCAAGAATTATAAACGATCCTCTTCCGCCTCTTCCATTTCATACCTTGTTTTAACGAAATACGATATTATAAATATGATCTTTAGGAAATTTTAAAATATACATTATTATTTTTAATTTTGTTATTTGCTTCTTAAATATATATTTAATTTATATAATTATGAATTAATATATTCTTGAATATATTGATTTATATTCTATTTTATATTTATGGAATAATACATTTATTTGTCGTTTTGTATTTACCGCTTTATATTTATGGATTTTTGATTTATAATTAATCGAAATTAAAAAATATATATTTTATTTGTTGAAATATTTTTATTATAAGAAATGGGATTGAAATGATATATTAAATTATTTTGGAATAATTTTTTTTATTTTTTATTTTATATATATTTTATACTTTATGGAATGAGGAATTCGTTTTTTTTATGGAATAGGATATGCGATATTTATGTGATATTCGGGATTTTGATTTATATTTATATTTTATGAAAACAATATAAATATTTCGATTATATTTATATTTTTAATATAAATTTAATTATTTATATATGTATTATAGTTAATATTATATATTTTATATTTTTAATATTAGTATAAAATCGAATAATAGAAATATATAAATATAATTTGGTTAGATTAAATATTTATTTTTTTTAAAAAAAAAAAAAACAATATTTTTTTGTTAACGAATATATTTTTTATTTTAATGATTTTATATTTGATATTCGATTTTTATATTAGTGAAAAGAATTCGAAATAATTGAAATATTTTATAAATTCTAAATTTGGGATTATTTTTTGATATATATATTTTTTTAAAAAAAATAATTATTTTTTTAAAATCATTTTTTTTATTGTTATTGATATATATTAATTATTTGGAAATATTATATATTATTATTTAAATATATACGTAATTTAATTTAAAAAAAAAATGTTAATGCCAAGGGCGCTTACTACGATGCGATTGAATTCACGGGATGAATTTGGCAGAACCTCCACTTGGTTTATTTTGTCGATGTGTCGCAGGCTCCTCGCTGGGAGGCTCATTTCGAATTTATAATTGAGGATAGGAATATGATTTGCATACCACTCGTCCTGAGAGAAGAAAAGCCCGCTGGCAGTACTTTGCAGGAACTTGTGGAATTATGGCATTTATAGCCTCCTTTTCGTCTCGGTTTCGCTGGCTCCACTACCACAATCTTTTTGCAAATCAATCGATTTCTAGCCCTTGGCATTCGTTTTAAGATCTTTGTAAGTTGGAATCGATAGATTGTTTAGTTGTCGTGCTTCATGTACGATCAGGGTTACACGGTTCGATGGATTGAATACCAGGTCGTTGCTGCAATTTTGCACCGAGGCGAGGAATCGCATTGTGGGCATTATCAATGCATTCTTCGAACAGGAGGTGGTCGATTCCTGACGAACGACGCTTGAAGCCCGATTTCAATTCCACACCTTTCAGAAATGGACCAGGATGTTTACTTGATTTGGCTGACCAAAGCCATTGCCTTGACAGATGCATACCGTAGGATTGTTGAGAAGAGTTCCAACCCGTTCGTGCCACTTTTTTCGAGCCGGTAAGACCATGCCACTTGTCTGCACATGCCGCCCGGGTAGCTGTCTTCGAGATAGCCGACCGTTGTTCGGTTGCCAACCCAACACGGGCGGATTCGCTCCGCCGGCCACGAATGAATGAATTTGGAACAATTTTTATTACATAATTAAATAAATTTATGTATTGATATTTAATTTTATTTAAATATTCATATTTAATTTTAAAATTTAATCGATAAACCTTTATAATTAGGTTTATTATATAATTTTAAATTTGGATGATATTAACAAATATTTTATTTTAGATTGATTTATATTAGTATTTCTATATTTGATTGTATTTATATATATCTAAATATTTTATACTTATAATTATTATATGAATTAATTTGTTAAAAAATGATATTTTTTATTTTTTTATCTTCAAAAATTATTGCTAATTATTCGGGGATTTGGTTGGGGTTAATCGCTATGAATAGAGAGAATATCATTTATTAGGAATAGGAGGGCAGAGAGCGATACATTTTTGCTTGCTGTTATTTAGGAAATAATTCTATAATAGACGAGATTTGTTAATATTAATATTATTAAATATAGACTATTTCTTTGAAACAAATATATTAATATAATATTTGCACTTTCTTTATATTAGATGCAACAATACAATGTATTTTGTCGTTCCGGCTTGACAAATTTAAATAGAAATAATCACGGAATTGATATATTTATATTTTTAAATATATATGCTTAAATTTTTCTTTAGGATTTCGAAATATAGATTTTATATTAATAGAAATTATTAAATTTTACGAATTTTGGAATTTTATTTCAATTGTCTATTTATTTCGATATTTCGATTTTTCCAAATATTATACACAATATATGATTTTATCGATAAATGAAATAAACATGATGAATTTCCTCGATGATTTTTGAAAATCTATCAATTTGAGAAATGAATAGGATATTGTAATATTGATCGCCAATTTGAAAAATATATAGCATATAACATATAGGATATTAAGAAATATAATCTTGATATTGATCGCATAAATCCTCGCGTACGATTATGCCATAATTTTGGATTTATCGATTTAATTCTTACTCGAATCGTAAGCTTCAAAATTGTAATAAGCGGCATCATGAACATTTACAGGCTTCTACAGAAGATGCTGGACGACGTTATTATTTGGATAATGCAAAATTGGTATATCGTCCTATTTACAACTATTTATCCCGATGCCAAGATATGATTGTGCAATACAGCAGAGCAGTCGTGCACCAAATATGCCTAAGATATCGCAAATGCCGCGGAAATAGAAAAGGAATAAATAGAATCTTTTAATATAATTAGGATGCTCAATGAAAGCCATCCACAAAAACGAGCCGCGAGACAAGAGACTTGGAGCGCCCAACATTACAAATATCCAATAATGGAGAGATTTGGTTTGCAGCATGACGTGGAGGTGGCGATTCTTTAAGACACAAAAATTTTTATGGGCATTCGTAATGGGGAGCAAGCAAGGTCACCGAGCAGAGTGTGCAGGAGCGGTGCCGCGGACAATTCAATTCAACGATGAACCTATTCCCTAGACAAGGATTTAAAATATAGGTTCTATTGGATCGCACCTCCGACTTATTCATTGATACATAAAAGGGGACGATGGAGATTTTCTCCGAATCTATGGATGGATTGACAATGCACCACCTTCTGCAGATTTTGTTGAATATCATATGATCCTTGCAGAAATTATTGCTAAATATTGCTAAGGTCGGAACACCAGATATTGGTTGAATATAATCTTTGTTGCAATAAAAAATTAGGGATCACCCCAATAGTTCTTCCATCTATATGACCTTTTAATTAAAATATATACGGATATTTTTTTCTATATATATAATTCATATTCTAACTATTCTATCGATCTTTGCCTCGCTACCACCTTTGTCCTATTCCTTTTCCAACCTATAAATCTTCTATGTCCATATCCTTCGTCCATAATACCCCGATATTAGAAATAACGGATCAATTCGAATATACAATATATAATAACTACTATTTCTTTAGCTAATTTATTATTTCTAGATAAAATAATAAATATTGAATAATATTTGTTTAAATTTAAATTAACCTATAAAATATATTAATATCTATATATAAAAATAGATATTATTTGATAATATCAAATAGAATCATCAATATACTATTATTTGTAATATCTTTTTCAATACTATGTATGTATAAATATATAATATTTATTTTATATATTGAACCTCTATTTATAGTATTATGATAAGGCTTATTAGAAGATGCGTATGTGTAATTCGTCAAAACTAAAAATTATAAAAATAATTAATACTGTTGATGGACAAAATCCTGCACCACTTTGCGCACACTTTTCTTGCTGCCCTCGTTCTCCCTCGTTAACATTGTGGCCACCACAATGAGAAAACAAAAACAAGTTGAAGGTCCAAAATCCTGCACCACCTCCTCAGAGGGGTCGCGCCAACATTGAATGAGGGG